GTGGCCCGCACGGAGCTGGAAGGGGAAGCAGAGGTACATCTTTACAGCAGCCCTGGGATACGGTGGTGTGGCCTTTTTCTATTGCTGCTGTAACAAGCTACCACACTAGTCTAATGTGTGGCTTTGGCTGGGCCTCTGCTGAGAGCCTCCCAAGGCCAAATTCAAGGTGTCTGCAGGACCCTGTTCCTTTCCTGGGGCCCTCAAGAAGAATCTGCCTTCAAGTTCCTCAGGTTGTTTGCAAAACTCAGTTCCTGTGGTTGTGGGGCGGGGCGGGGGGGGGGGTCCCTTTTCCTTGCTGGCTGTAGGCCAGGAGCCTCTCTGCGTTCACGCTGTCCCCTCCATCTTTAAACCAGCAGTGGCCAAATCCGCCCTTCAGGCTGCCAGTGTCTCTGACTTCTTCTGTTCCATCTCTTCTGCCTCCAGCTGAAGAAAGTTCTCTGCTTTTAAGGGCTCATGTGTTTAGACTGGCCCCCCTCTGGATGATCCAGGGTCATCTCCCATCTTCACGGTCAATAGCCTTGATTACATCTGCAAAGTCCCTTTTGTTGTGTTCTCCTTGACTAAGCTTTAGTCTGGCTCCTTGATCAAGCTTTAGTCAGCTCTCTTCTCCGTGAGGCCTTGACCTTGGCTCCGTCCTTCTTGAGCCTTCAGTCCCCAGGTGTAGCAAGAATCCCACTAATCCAGTTGAGAGAGAATCCCCCACCCTCAGGTTCCCTTTTAGTAATTTCTATCCATTGACCCTTGCCTCGCCCCCTGGCTTCCAGTCCCCACTTGCTCTCATTGTCTTCAAAATCGAGCCCCATCTCCCTCCCCTATTGCGACAATCTTGCCACCTACTGTGATAGCCCTGAATAACGTCTTCCTAACCATCTTAACAAGCCTCAGAGTAATTTTTTCTTTAACACAGGGACGAGGGGGTGGATATCTTTTGGGGGAGGCCACCCTCCCTACCCCAGAAAACACTGTCTTCAGTTTAAAGACTTGGAAAGAGGCACGGTGAAGTAAAGTAACTATTTCAAGGACTCACAGCCCATTAACAACTACAGGATTCAAACTCAGGCCCGTCTGATTGGGTAGCCCATGTCCATACACACGCGGGTGTGCGCGCCCCGCCTGACATAGCCTGACGTCCTGGACTGCATCTAGGGATGGGGGTGCTGGTAGCTCCTTTTGGGGCCTCACCTCGTTTCTTTCCATATTTGCTGGTTTAGGAATCCCCCATTCTAAATCCAGGCACCCCATGTGCAAGCTTCACAGATGTGCTAAGGCCTCTTTTTTTTTAGAAATGTGCACACACCCCCTATTCTCTCTCTCTCCCTCCCTCTCTCTCTCTCTCTCTCTTCTCACTGGGCAATAGCTTCCTTTGATCTCTACAGACCAAAAGCTAAGAGTGAGATGCAGCTGGAAGGGAGTAGATGTATCAGATATATTAGGTGTCCTGTGTTATGCAAATCAGACTTAAAGTGTGCAATTTTAATGCAAAACAACTTCTGGGGGAATAAAAAGGCTAAAAGCCACATTTCCTTCCATAAAGCCTGCCCCTATGCTAAACTGCAGACATAATTATCAAAACTATTCAGCTCCTGTTAGAAACACTGTGAGAATAAGGCGCAGGAGGCTCAGGCTGGGGGAGTGCTTGGGGGTCAGCTTTCCGGTGGCCGCTGAGGCTGCTTCCTACAGATGGAAGCGAGATGGGGCGGGCAGGGGCAGCAAGCCGCTCAGGACCCTGGTAGCCACCCCGGCCAGAGCCATTTGCAATAACCTCATGGATTTTTGTGCTGTGAAATACAGTCAATGCAACCTAGGCCAACACATCAGGGACACCCAGAAATCCCATTTCTTGGAAAGGAAACACACCTGCACCTGCTGCTGTTATTCTTCTCCATGGGCTCCGTTTAAGGCAATGAGACTGACATGGAGCCTCATTGTCTGGACGTGTGTTCACCTTCCCACCCTGACTCCCCGTCCCAGTGTCTCGATTTTGAACACAGAGTAGTTCCCACCATTCCAGGCCTTGAGGACGAGAAGCTGGATGAAGGTTCTTGCCTTTGTTCCAGGTTTAGTAGGAGGCAGGGCGGTGGGCACAGAGGAATAAACACACTACATGAGGGCTCAGTGCCAGGGTGGAGAGGAGAGCTGGGTGCTAGGGGCACAGAAAGAGGGAGGGGCGGGCGATAGAGCAGGCAGCGAAGGTGCCCGCGCCCTGGGGCAGGCAGTCCCAGAGCTGTGTTCCTCACTCCGCTTGGTGGAGAAACAGGGCTAGGTTGTTGGAGTGTAGGCACGTCAAGGCACAGCCTCTGGACTGAAGGCTGGAGGGGTGGGCAAGGCTAAGGAGGGACCCAGCTGAGGAGCGTGGGCCTCGTCCTTGAGACAAGCAGCAGCCACTTGGTGGCTGCCAGGCCTGAGAGGGTGGGAGAGACCTGCATTTCAGAGACAGCCCTTTGGTAGGAGTGAGGCAGAATGGTTTTGAGGGGAGAAGCCTAAAGGTGGGGGATCATTCAAGAGAGTGTTGGGGATGAAGAGAGGGCAATGGACGTGAGCTGGGACTTGGTGATGGTGAGCTGGGGTGTGGGGAGGCCTCTCTCTCCACACCCTGGTGTGGGACCTGCTTGGGACACGCGGTCTCCGCCACCCCTCGGCACCGTGTTTCCTTTGCAGCCGAAGCATCGGTCTCCAGCCCCATCGCACCCCTGCTCATCACCCCATCCCGCACGGGCTCTTCTAAACTGCCACCTCCACATACTCAGGTGCCTAGCTATCCTCACCCGCAGAACTGATGCTGTTCACGTGCTGTATCCCCCACGGAACGAGCCCTGCATTTCCTGGCATATAAAATGCTAAGAGAAAGAAATGCGAGTGCTGGGAACTGCCTGAAACATTGCAGAACGTTCGGATGGGGGAAAACCAAGTGCTCCCCGTGATAGCTGTCTGCGGTGCTTTTTCTGGGGCTTAAAAATGCGGTGATGGATTATAAAATGTGTTTCCCACGGCTATGCAGAAGTCCCTCCCTACTTCCCTGTTCAAACCCGCACTAGGTAATGCAACCGACTCGGAAGCCAATTAGATGAGACTGCCACTTGATTGGAGCAGATGTGTGTCAACATCGCTATACAGAGAAGGTCCTGGTCGGTGGGACCAGATGTGCCATCATTAAGAATAATGTGTTCTCTGAGCCCCAGTGGGGCTGCCCCGTGGAAGAAGGAACATACACACTTTGTAGGGTTGCGGAGGGCACAACAAGCCCTGACACACAAAAGCTGGAGGGAGATGGGCTTCAACCTAGAAGAATTTTCTAACACTTCAACGCAACATTCTCAGCAACAGGACATACTGAATTGTGAAGCAGCGAATACATCACCATAAGTAGCATCTGAGCAGAGATCGGATGACTGCTGTCTGTCAAAACTATTGCAGAAAGAGTTCAGTTGGTGGCTGGAAAGGCTAGAGCACTTCGCTAAGGAGCTGTGATCATCAGGACATTGACTGGCTCTGTCCCAGAAAAGAGAAATCTCGTCCCCATTGACAACGCCAAGGGCGGACCTGGCTCCATGTCTTCCTGGGCCTGTGCAGGCAGCTCTGACCCCAAACCCACACCAAAGACCCCCTCACATTTCAGGGCTGGGTCCAAGAAGGGGAGTCTGGCTGGTGGGTGTTGGGGTTTTCTGCTTTGTTTGCCAAGCTGCCCATCCGGGCCCCGCATGGCAGGAGACTGGCTTTTCTGATGGATTTCCCTACACTGCCCAGTTTGGGAGAACAGATGCTACGGGTCAGGCCAGCAGCCATAAATTTCTGGGAAATAATTCTTAGTGACTGAGGAAGAAAGTCGTAAAACACTCTGGAGGCAGGGACAGGAGAAAACAATGGCAGAGAACGATGCCCTGGACTACTGCTAAATGCCAGATGATCCCCATGGATCACTGTCCTGGCCCGCACCCCTGCTCAGGGAGCCCGTGCCAAATACAATACCCGGTGCACAGAGAGGAGACGGGGCCCCAGCATTTGGGGACTCTTCCTCTTCTTTTACTGTGGTTTATTCAACAGAGTTACCAAAGTCTCTTTCACGGCAGACACTATACTAAGTACTTGAGATAGTTGTGAACACAAGAGACCCAAATGCCTGCCCTTGTGCAGGTAATATTCTAGTCAGCTGCTGGAGAGAGGGAGGGAGGGAGGGAGGGAGGGAGGGAGGGAGGGAGGGAAGGAAGGAAGGAAGGAAGGAAGGAAGGAAGGAAGGAAGGAAGGAAGGAAAGGTCAGGGAGGAAGGAAAACATTTTTTTGTGCCCGTGTGGTGCCCAGAGTTTTACAGACTCACCTCAATGGATTGATTTTCACAATGACCCCAAGAAGAATCCCCACATTATGCTTTAAATACACAAGGAAACTGGAGGGTCACTCAGTGTCATCAGCCAGGTGGAATAGGTCTCTTACTGCTCCTTCTGCAAACCACAGCCCTGCACATCTGGCTGCACCTGACCCTCTGTTTGCATAGTTTGGGAACCTGTAACCCAGCCCCTCCACCCCTGCTGAAAGATAAGGACACGATGCCCCCAGAGTTTCTGGAGCAGTCCTGCCAGGCCCTCCTCATTAACCCAGGGCTGAGTGCTCTGTGCCTAGAGCAGCCAACAGATGTGACCCAGATGTTTCCAGTGTCACTGTCAATCCTGCTCTTCATTCTCTTTATCTCCAGTCTCATTGCGACTCCATACTCTCAAGTTCTGTGTTCGTAGCTCACGCCTGCCTCTGGTGTTCTTCCTTGGTCTTCCTGGCTTTTGCATGTCAATTTCCCCCTAAAGGGCTGCCTGGTTCTCAGCATCCATTTGGCCCCATGGAGCAATTCCCTGGGTGCCCCCCCTCCCAGCAGCTGCTCCTCCGGTGCCCCACCTGGCCTTCCCCCCCAGGAGTGACTTGTTCCCATCCCCTGGCCCTCCTCCCAGGCACACGTGCGTGGTCCAAGGACCGATTCCCGACCGCAGCTCCAGGACGCAGAGAGAGCAACTCACCAAAGTTCTCCCCACCCCAGATGTCCATGTCCGTGTCGTATTTCCCCAGGTAGTCGAACCAGGATTTGTCCATCACGAAGAGCCCTCCAGCTATGATTGGAGTCCTGTGCAGAGGGAAGGGGAAGAGGGAGGACCAGTGATGGGAGGGGGATCACGGCCACCTTTTTCTGCCCCAGCCGTCCGGAACTCGGGGCCAATTTCTCACCATTTCTGCTCCTCTTCAGGGAGAGGCCAGCACATTTTCCAACTTACCTAAAACACGAACATGCTCCTGGGGTTTTTCCTTTCATTAGAAATCTCCTCACCTTGCAGACAGTCTACCACACCTCCCCTGGGGGACCAAGACTCGCTTAGACACTGGCCTCCCCCACCAGGCCCTGCCCAGCGTCGCTCTCCTGGGAGCTCACTCTTGGGGAGAGGAGTAGTGGACCACTGACCAGGCAGAGGACAAAGGCTGAGGCAGCGCCTGTCAACAACACATCCATTTCTTAAGACTGAGCTCCTCTCTCTTTTTTCCCCTCTTTACCCCTGTGTTATGGGTTATGTTCCCTTAAAAAAACATTGGGGTCCTAACCCCCAAGTACCTCAGAATGTGACCTTATTTGAACAGAGGGTCTTTATGGAGCTAAGCAGCTTAAAATGAAGGACTTAGGGTGGTCACAATGGGGCCTGGCAGAGAGACTGGAGATCAGGACGAAGCCACGCAGAGCAGGGCAGAAGCAGCCCAGGGGCAACGCCACTGTCAGGCTCTCGCACAGAGCAGAGCAGATGTGCTTGGTCATAAGCAGCAGTGGCCATGCCCTGATATCAGCCTCCACTCACTGCAATGGCTGCCTCGACCTCGAGGGCTAAATCCTGACATCCAAGACCTGGGAGCTCTGCTCCTGACCCCAAGGGACCTTTTCTCCTGTCAGAGGCTCAGATGGGACCATTTGGGATCCTCCCATGTTTAGCAGGATGCACGAGTACAGGATGACATGTTTGTGTGTGAACAACACTGGGCAACTCCCCAGCACAGGTCTCCACTGGGCCCTGAGCCCTTTAATAGAAGTTTCCATGAGGATAGAAACCTCCTAAAATGAAGGCAAAAGTGGTGCTGGTCTGGCTAAGGGCTCTCTTGGTCTCTGACCAATCTTTTGAGCATCTAATGTTGCACACCTCCCTATACCATGTGACGGGGGGAAGGACCAAGTAGGAATGAATCAGCCTCCACCAACCCTTGCCCTGACTTACCTAATGGGCTCAGCGGGGTCCAGGCGCCGAGCCTTCTGTTCTGGAGAGAGCTGCTCCCATTGGAAGTGGAGGCTCCAGTCAAACCCTAAAACATAGCACCCACGGGGCTGATTTGGTCTCTCGGGTGTGCCTGCAAAGCTTGCTCATTCTGTCCCTGTTCTAGAAGTTTGGGAATGTACCCAGTTTCCTGGGGAAGCCCATCCCAGGGATAACAAGTCTCACCCTGGCTGCCCACAGCTCCCTTCTCTTTCTCTACCTCCTCCTGCCTCTCTGCACCTTCTCAGCTGGCTGCAGTTAGGAATAACTGCAGGTAGAGAATAAAGAGACACAAGTGACAGGGCCCAAGGGGGACAGTATGGACAGTTATGGAATGTGGCCCTTGGCCAGGAGCCTCAAGAAGGTAGAAGCAGGAGGTCTGGAGGGGCTGAATCATCCAAAGTTGGTCTTGGGGTGGGGGCCTGCGGAGAAAGCTGTGGGGGGCCTTGAGGAGAGGGCAGTGCCCAGTGCTGAGGTGCCAGAGCAGCTCAGGCCCCACGTAGCCAGGGGGCCTTGCTACCCTCACTGTCAGGCCCTGGAGTGAGCCCAGTGCTAGAGCCGAGCTCTGGGGGCTGGGAGCGACCTGGCCCTTCCCTGGACCCTCCATTCAGTCCCAGTGGTGAGGGCCACATTGGAGCTACGGGCATTACAGGATGCAAGGTCAGACGTTTCAGACAAACCACTAGGAGGAAAGTTGTCCTCACTTTTCCCCTTGACAGCAATGACTAGGAGGAAAAGGAAAGTCCTTCTGGGTAGAAGGCGCTAGCCCACTCACCCCCTCGGAGCTCCGCGGCCGACTCGATGTAGCTGAAGGTGTCCAGGTTGATGATATCGATCACAGGGCACACCACCCGCCTGTTGTCCTGTCAACAGCAGACCCCGGCTCAGTGTGCGGTATGGCAGGAATTGGGGAGCTCCATAGGGTCTCCCCCCAGTAGTGCCAGAGACAGGTTTTGGGGTCTCGACCATTTTTCTCCCTGTGTCTCAATTTTCTCATCCAAAAAATGGGCCATTGGACACTGTGATCTCTCTAGTTCCAATGTCAAAAATGCTAAGAGCCTTTCCCTGATGCCCGGCACAGCGGCCATCTAAGCGTGGTGGAGACCAGGGGAGGCTGGCTGCAGAGTCCTGCTCACTGAGAAGGGGGCACCGGGGGGCGGGGGTGGAGCTCCAGAAGCCTTTCACCCTCAGGGGATGCTCCTCTGGGAAGGCGACCCCAAGCCTGCAGTCCCAAGAAGCAAAGCCACTCACCCACAGTGGGAACCTCTTGGACTTTCTAGATACTTTCATTCTATGCTTCTGTTTCTAGGCAAGTTGATGAATAGTGTTTCCAGAGACCCCTGCCTACCTCCGTGACTTGTGGCTTGCCACCTGTGGTACTCACAGATCTCTACCTCCTGCCCTGGCCACCCTCCTCGCCACCAGACTCAGATCCAGGACGCCAGGAGCCACGCCATGTGGATTTCACACAGCCTTTCAGTGGCGGCTTCGTCGTCATCTCCCCAAATGTGCTCCTTCCTCTCAGTTCCCTATTTCTGTTCACAGAGCCATCACATATCCCACTTCTTCCCCAGCACTAAATTAAGAAGTTTCATCTCTGCCCATCAATCAAAACTGCTAATTGGAATGAATCCTGCCTCTCCTTGAGCGCCTCACACCTACGATGGACCCCCAGCCTCGCCCCGCCCCCACACCCCCACCACCCTTTCCCTTTCAGGCTACAGGTGGCGGACAAAGTTGTCTCTCTGATATGCAAATCTCACTCTGCAGCTCCACAGCTAAAGACTTGAGTCCCCTCCAAGATAAGATTCCAACTCCTTAGCTGGCATCCACGACCATCAAAAACAGGCCTGTATCTAGCTTTCCAGCCTTATTCTTGCTAGTCCCCCCAGGCCGCCCTGTGTATAGGCATCCAAGTCTTCCGGGGGACATTTTCAAAATCTACAAGAGAAATTCATCACCTCCTGGGGGCCGCCCAGGCATTACATACATGTTTTTTTAATGTTCCCTAATTCTGAGTGAACGTCTCCATGCCTGGTGTGCAGGAGGGGAAGCTGGACTCCCATGGGCAGCGTGTGCCAGATGTGAGCACGGAGAGCTGAGAGCTAAATATACAGAATCCAGCGGCGGCGGAGGACCAGGCGGGACCACGTCTCCAATCCTCTGCACCCACCACCCCTGGTCGGCCCAGGTGGGAACCTCCGTTTCTCCTTGCAGCCATTTAATTTCCTGGTCCAATCTTCCCTCCAAATGAGTCTGTCTTCTCATTTTAAGCTCAGACTCACCAAGTGCCTGCTTTTACGTTCACAGATTTAATTTGGCCCTCAGCTTCCATGTGTGACTCATCCTGACAGTGACAAGGAGCCTCCGCAGCCAATTGGCCCATGTGGGTAAAAAATGCTCATTTTCAATGCATTGCTTTCACCTCTGGGATGTGCACAGATGCTTCCTTCATGGTCAACACAGCTGCCACAGTTCTCTGGGGCTCCTCGCAGGCCGCTGTCGCAGGCATCGGTGTGTATGCACACGCTATATACACACACACTGCCGTCCATTCCAACATCTACACACAGACTCACCCCTGAAGACATTCTTGTGACTTGACTTCTGAAATGTTCTCAGGAATTCAGAGACTGACTGGACTCTGTGGGCTAACAAAATCCTCATTTTTCTTTTGTTTGCCGAGTTTTGGGGATTCTGCAGCTTCACTAAGTCCTATATACACCCTTGTGCAGTAAAGGATTAACCTTACCCAAAAATACGTTTGACCCTTGCCTAGCTCCTTTGAGGGAACTTCTAAGCCCTTGAAATGTCCCACCTTTAAGAATATCTCTATTTGCTAGGAGCCTTGGGCTGCACCAGATAGTCTATGCTAACAGCGTGAGTTAGGATGAGGGCCTTGGCCATGTGATGCCACCTCAACTTGACCTCTGGAGGTACATGGACACCATGGGGGTGATTAGCCATGTCTATGCAATGGCAATAAAAACCCTGGACACCAAGGCTCCGGTGGTCTTCCCTGTTTTGCAATTCTCTGCGTGTTGCCACATGTCTGTGCCGGGACGAGTGAGCGCTATCTGTACACCACCATTGGGACAGGACACCTAGAAATGTGTGCCTGGAACTCTCCCCATGTACCTTCCCGTTGCTAATATGAATCTGTATCCTTTCACTGTAATAAACAGTAACCATGATTGCAATAGCTTTGTTAAGTTTCAAGTCTTTCTAGTGAATTATTGAACCTGAGGGTAGTTTTACAGACACCCAAACTGCAATCTGGTTGTTTAAAAAAACCTGTCTTCAATATCTGGAAATTGAAATGCAACATAAAATGCAGATTTCTTACCTCATCCATAGGCTTCCCCAGAAGCCAGCCATGGGGCTCTCCAGGGCTGTGGCAAGCTCTAGTTAAGTCTCCCTATAGGTTCTGAGGGGTTTTGTCCTATTATTCCTGACACATTTCAATCATGGCATCTGCTTGGAGTCACAGAGACCAGATAGGCAATGAGAGATGTTTGTGGCTAAGTGCTGAGTGGAGCCATGACCTTGAGGAGGGGCTGCAGGAGACTTTACGAATGACCCATCGAAGCCAGGACAGAACCTCTCTGAGTCACCCTGGGAGGGGGGTTAGTATCCCTCAGTCCCAGCCTGGAGCCTGGTGGGCAGGTGTTCGATTGATGTTGGCTGAAAGAGGCCATCTATTATTTCCTGCTAAAGGCACTGTGTCAATGGCTGGCAGCAAAGCAGGCAGATCAATTAGAGCTGAGCAAGATGGCCTCTCCCCCTGCAGGCTCAGGGATGGAGGGACTCTCTGTAAAGATACCCATGTACATCACAGATCCCCATCTGTGTGCCCCAGAAGGCTACATCTTTAAGGCTAGGTTCCACGGATAAGCCAAGCAGGCAGCTGGTGGAATCCTCAGCAGACCCAGAACTGCGTTCTGACCCAAGCCCCACCCCTCCACTGGGAGCCAATGGCCAGCGATCACCCCTGCAGTCCTGCCTCTCATTTCTCTACCCACTCATATAATTAAAATCACACTGTGGATGGGCAATCAAAAAACTCCCAGAGACTTCCATTCCTTCATTTCACCAACCAGCGTTACTGAGCACCTACTGTGGTTTAGGATTTGTGGCAGGTAGAAGGATGAGTATGACCTCACATGATCTAGGGAAGGTGGTGGACAGGTGAGGAGTTCTATGATGAGGTCTCTAAGCTATCCTGGAGGGAGGGGCGGGAGACTGGAGGGGGCCATCGGGAGGTAATGTTGTGCCAGGAGACCTGGGTTCCTATTTGGGCTCTACCATCTAAAATACACATGACCTGAAGCAAGTCAGCACACAGTGGGGCACTCTGTTTCTTCATTTATGAAGGGAGAACAAATTAGTATTTGCAAAACTGTCCTGCCTTCCCACCAGGGTTTTTGGAATAATTGAGGGTTTGAAGCATATGTAAGCCATTGTTTATATACATTTACCAAACGCTACAGGATTGAAATTTCTTAAAAATATCTTTTTCTAGTAAAAAAAAATATGTAGATAAGGAAGGGGAAAAAGAAGCCTATGTTTAAAAAAAAAAGAAAAGCAACTTGGTGCTTGTTTCAAGCATCATCATGTAATTGAAGGGGAGAGAAGGGAAATCGAGATTTTTCCATGTGGAAAACACCAGCTGAGGACCGATTCTGACAGCTCGAGCCCAGCCTCTTTCTTATCTCTTTTCTATTTTTGAAAATCCCAAATCCCAATTACAGCTTAAAATTTCCACTTCCCTTCAAAAGATCAAATCGCATTTTACTGAGACAAGACACATACGAAGACTCGTAGAAATGCAGGCTGGCACTCACCCACACTCTTTATCCTGAAAGGGATGTCCCAGTGGAACCATTCAGTCACCGGGAGTCAGGGCCTGGTGACAACCTCTGCAGGAGCTGAGCAAGGGCCACTGGCTGGGGTCTGTCTGACCAGCCCTCTGCTACAAAAGCTTTAGCTCGGACAGTGGTGAGAACCAGGATCTTTGCCTGGGAGGCCGAGCTCAATCTCAGGGCCCAATGACTCCCAGAGGAGGAGCCCTGGGCAGCAGGCAACACTCATGGGCAGGAGGAGGCGATGAAGGCTTCCCCTGCCTGCAGATAAGGCTGGCCGCCTGTTTTCCAGACAGGGCTTCTGAGACGGACTCAGGCCCCGGAATGAAAAGGGCCTGGCAGGCACATTAAGACTGTCTGAAGGAGGCAAAGCCCCCTAACACATCCTGCAGGGACATGGCAGCCGGAGGGATCCTATAGGTCAAACACCAAGTTACCACATGGCCCAGCAACCCCACTCCTTGGTATGTACCCCCCAAATTGGAAGCAGGCGCTCAAACAAAAACTTGTACACTAACGTTTGCAGCAGTATTATTCGCAACAGCAAAAGGAGGGAAACGACACAAATGTCCACCAGCAGAAGAATGGATAAACAAAACGTGGTACTGCACTGTGAAGGTGTGATATAATAAAAAAATATAGACTTAGCCTTTATTCCTAGGGCATCGAACAGAGCTATTAAAACCCTTGTAATGTCCTGAGCGAATGGGGTGAGGCACATCTTTTGCTCTTAAGCCCCTTTCACCATACTTGAGTTTATGCTAATTAGGGACTCTTGGAGGATGGGGGCTAGTTATTGGAGGAGCCAACCACATGATTAGAGGGCTGGCACTTTCACCCCCCACCTCTGCCCCTGTCACCTCTGCCTCCAATGTCTCCCTACCCAACCTCAGGGAGGGGACAGATACTGAAAGGTTAAGTTCAATCATCAATGGCCAATGATTTAATCAACTGTGCCTGTGTAGTGAAGCCCCCATAAAACCCCTGAACACAGAGTCCGGAGCAGTGCTGGGCTGATGAACTAAGAGTGTCTGCTTAAGATGGGTCCCCTCCCTTGCAGCTCTACCTGAAATAGGTGCTCAAGAAATGTCTGTTCATTTAGAAGCAGGAAGTGAGCCTGTTTTCCTCCCGTTGCAACGCATCACCTCCCCAGTACACCTGGCTTCTCATGGTCATTTCTGAACACTCAGCCCCTACTCTACAAGCAGGGTGACCATAAGGAGGTGACTGGTGCCCCCGATGGGTTGTAGTCTGTTAGGGGAGACAGAGAACTAAACCCAGAAAAGAAACTGCAGGGCCAAGTGGGCACTTCTTGCCTGGAGTGGTCCCAGCGGGCCAGGCCATTTGGAAAGGGCTCCAGGAGGAGGGCAATATGCACAAGGCCCTGAAGAGCAAGGGGCTTGCAGGGAGGAGGGGAGGGGCTCCCAGGGACAGGAAGGGCGTGGTCAGAGATGGAGCAGCAGGAATGTGGGGCATGTCCAGAGAGACGGGGTACCCAGTACAAGGCTGGGGAGGCAGCGCTGTGGCTGCAGGCTGAGCCCAAAGAAAGGAGAGGATTTGGAAGGGCCTCCGGAGCCAGGCAAGGCCCCTCCACTGGGTGGTCCGTTCATAAACTACTGTTTTGCAGTCCGGAGCTCTTTGCCAAGATAGTGTTAGGAAGGGAAGAGAGGGGGGTTTTCTAAACAGCATTCAGTGTAGGAGCACCCACCCCACCCCTGCCCTTGTGAAAAGTGGTCACAGGGTGAGTTTTAACATCTAGGCCCACGTGTGAAAACTTTATAAACCCACCGAGCTTCCCTCATGGGAATGAAGGAAGTTGGTAAGGATTTCCTAGCCCTCTGGGCAGTTGACACATCCCAGTTCTTTCATCCTTGCCACGCTGTCATTTTGTAGGTAGTGGTGAAAACATAAGAAAGTGGGAAGAGGGGGGAGGAAATCAGCACAGCACAGGCAACATCGAGGGCTCCGGTGGGACTATCAGCCAAGTTATATACTTCCCCCCGAAACTGTGTCCTCATCTGTGAAATGGGTATCGAAACAATTCCCAACCTCCTGTTTCAGAACAGCGGTAGCACCTGATACCTGGGGAGAAAATGACGAGCGCAAATGCTCATGGCCAGCGCCGGCCCCGACTACACAACAGCAGCTTCTGCACATCAGGATGGTGGCGGGGTAGATTTGCGGGAATATAAAATAATGATGGGAAAATGCCTGAAATTCTTTTCATTTTCAAGAAGAATAACTGAGACATAGAGAGAGAGAGACTACACAGTTCTAGAGTCATTTATGGAGAGACAGAGGCAAGGAACTCAGGTCGCAGCATCCAGCCCATCTGCCTTGGCCACAGGGGAGGGTGACGTGTGGTGGAGGCAAGACCCACAGACTGAGGGATGGGGCCTGGTTACTTCCGCTGCCTCCTTTTCACAAGGTCCTCGTCAGGGCTCCCTTCCTGGACCCCTCTCTTGTCTGGGAGAGACAGTTTTGGGCAGTTAGTTCCCTAGCCCAGGAAGTAGTGTGTGGCAGTGTGATACAGAACAGGCCCTGGACCGTGTTGCAGCACTGCCTGCTGTGCGACCCTGAGCAGGCTGCTCTGCCTCAGTCTCCCCACCTATAGAATAGGGACAGCCATCTAGCCCATCTACCTCCCAGAGGATTGGGGGCATATGGGCAGTACCGAGCGTGAGGGAGCCGGCAGAAAGTGGGGGCACGCGATCCGTCCGCGTCGCAGTTGGCCTCACTCACCTCTTTGACCCTGTGCAGCAGTGGCTGGAGCCAGTCCCTGTTCACCTCACAGTGGCTGTCAAGGAAAGTCAGAGTGGCGCCCTGGGCAACGTCGGCGCCCCGGATCCGGGACCGGACCAGACCTGCAATGGAGACAAATGGCCAAGTAGGTGCCCAAGTCACTCTACCTTCCAGCAGGCCCACCGAAGAACCCCTCAGCATTCTCCCCACACATGGGACGCACGCCCAGACGCATGCGCACACACGACACCAAGCCTCCCCTCACATCCCCAGGCCCTGCCAGGTTCACAGACCCACCTTGCCGCTGGTTATTGCGTAAGCATTTCACCTTGGGCAACTTGATGAGCTCTTTGCAGTCACCAGCTGCAAAGACAACAGGTTTATGTGAGGGGAGCAGCTCAGGATGGGGGTGAATCTGAGGAGCAGGTAAGGCAGCCTTGCCTGCCGTTCCCCCTCCCCTCTCCCCTACTGACTGCAGAGCCCAGAGAATGGTTGAGATGAATTTTGGAGTTTCAGACCATAAATCCTTAACACAGAAGATCCTATTTGTTAACAGGTCCATCCGCAGTGTCTTCCGTCACACAGAGCTGGTCCAATTTCCCATCTCGCAGGAAAATGTGCCAGGATGGGCAAGGGACCCCATCTTAGGCATTTGCCTGGGGTCATCCTCTGGCTTGCCCGTTGCCCCAGCACTTATTTGGCTTCCCACCCCTCAGCTCTGAACTTTTTATCATGATCCTTCATTGGTTTACCAACCATAGGCTTTCCGCTTGGCTTGGGACTCTCCTCAGTGACAGCAAAGACTCACTGAGTCTTTCCTGGGGCTAGGAACTGTTCGAAGTGCTTTGAGTGTGTTAACATAGTTGAGTCCTTATATAAACCATATCTGTTATTATTATAATCTCCATTTTAGAGCTGAGGAAACTGAGACACATCAAGATTAATAATTTGTCCAAGACACGTTCCTAGTAAGAGAAGTGACAGACCTAGGGTCTGAAGCCAGGCAGTCTGGCGCCAGTCCAGGCTCTAACCACCAGGTTGTCCTGCATTTAAGTGACGCCAGCAGCATTCCCTCCTCCATCCTCAGTGCCAGGCTACCTCCCAGCAGGGCGAGGGCCTCCCTGCCTCCAACCCCTTCCTCACTAGAGAAAGGAGATCAGGTCCCTGAGTCGCAGCGCTCAGGTCGGTGAGGACCTGCTGCATACCCAGCTTTCGTGTTACTTCCAAGGTCCCAAGTCTCTGTCACAGATGTGGGTTTCCAGCCTTCCTACTGCACAGCCCAGCCCAGTCGCGCCTCCTATACCCAGCCTCCAGTGTCAGCACTGGTGGGGACAGACTCTGCTCCCCTGGGACTTGGAGCTGTCCCCTGTGACTCATCTGCTTCCCCTGGTCATCACTGGGAAGAGGCAGTCCTGCCTGGGTGTGGCTGTCTGCTTGGAACTGTACCCACAGCTCTCAGAAGAGGTGTCGGCACTATTAATACCTGCAGTCTAACGCTTCTACAAGTATTATGCCTGTCAAACTGAACACGTAGATGTTTGAAAACATCTGCAAGCTTTTCTAGCGGAAAGAGGATTTGGAGGGTGAATTTGGGTGGGACCTAAGTTCTTGGATATAACTAGGAAACAGTGATGACCAGTGGGGTTTCATGAGATGCCTTCCAACCCTACAACCTCAGTGATGGGGTGTCCCATTGGTGATCCCAAAGACAGAGAGAGCCCACCCAGCCCTCCCATAGGAAGGAAAGGAGAGGGTGCGCTGGCCTCAGGTCAGGCCAGCAGGTGATCACAACACTCCAGGCAGGAAGCTTTGGTGACATAATTTCTTCTGGGCTCTGGGGTCCAGGGTCAATCCTTTGAAGCTTTAGTTCCCAGGTCCAGGAGTGCAGGTTAGGGAGCAGTGACACACACGCATGCACACACCGATCCAATCAAGAATCTCCTAAATTTACCTGCTTAGGTCCTCAAAGACTCACAGCAGAGAACCCGAGAAACTGTTTTATAAAGGCAAGGTTTATCTCCTTGAGCCCCTCACGGACACTCAACGTTTCCATTCCAACTATAAACCCAGGCTTGCCTCCATCCCCAGAGAACCGTGGGCTTGCCTCTGCCTGTCACTCAGGGTCTGGAACAGACGTTGGTGTCTACAGGGCAAGGGAGTCATATTACTTACGGTCATTGCTGAAGTCATCCACTAATATGATTTCCTGGATCAGTTTCATAGGGGTGCGGTTTAATACGCTGTGAGACGGGAAGAAGGAAGATCATTATGACTTCTAGTGGCAAGTATAATATATATGCATTAAATCGAGTTTTAAATAGCATTGCCTTTGAAGAATGAAAACCCAGGGCGGCCAGCGGGGCTTGTCCAGGCCCATCGCTCCCCTGGGAGCCACTGGCATAGAACTCTGCTTTGTGGTAGTGAATGGCCCACCACCCACCCAGCACCAAGGTAGACATACAGGAGTCATCCTCCACAGCCCTGCCCCTCCCTGACACCCCGCCCCAAACGGTGACCAAGGCTGGCTGGTTTGACTTGCAAACGTCACTCAAATCACTTTCAGCACTCATCTCTGCCCCAGCCTCTTTTGTGTAGTTTATTACAGTAGCCTTGACCCGCCCAGGTCGTCCTCCTCTGGCCTCCAGAGTGAGCCTTCTGAAGCGCAGATCTGATCTCTGATTGTGTGACTTGCCTTGCTGATGCAAATATATCATTTGACAAGACCCCCCTCAGTGGCTCTCCACTATCGGCACCCCAAACCCTCAGTGTGCTCTTCAAGGCCGGTCACAGCCTGGAGCCAGCTCCCACTGGCAGCCTGTTCACGCCCCATGCCATTATCTGCAGACACCCTGCTCCTTCCCAACCCAGAGCCGTTCCCTACTGCTTGAAATGCCCATCCTCTGCCACAAGGACCAGTTCAAATGTCACTTCCTCTCTAACAGCTTTCCAATCCACTTAGTGAGAATTAATTGCTTCCTCCTCTGGGGTTCCTCAGCAGTTTGTATCTGAAGCTCCCTGTGGTTTTCACTGCTGCCTGACTCTGAGGGTTGGTTTTGCTGACGCCTGTAGACAGTCAAATTCTCAGGGACAGATCACATCCTTGTCAAGTTACCACTGCAATGTTAGAGTCCAGCACAGCCCTTTGGCCCAAAACCATCCCCTCCAGAGACACTTAATGCACACCTACTATGTGCATGACACTGGGTATATGATGAGGAAAAAAGGAGACACGGGTTCTGTCTTCCAGAAGCTTGGGTCTAGCAGCTATTTACTACAATCTGTGTAAACCTGCATAAGTTACTTTACTGTTCTGTGCAGTAAAGTGTCTCCATCTATAAAATGGGGGTAATAATAGTAGTAGCCACTTCACAGGGCTGTTGGGAGAATTAAAGGAGAAAAGGTATCTAAACCATTTACCAGGATGTCTGGCACTAAAGGATGAAACGTGGTAGCAATGATTACTATTTTGTGCATCATAATGATTTCTTAATTGACTTCGTTCACACCCCTGGGCTGTGGATCTATATTCCCAGGGCAAGGCCGGGTTTCAGAGTTCACTCTGAGGGCCAGGCCTGACTGAGATGGCTGGGTCCCGCTTCTCCTGAAAGCCCCCCAAAACGCCTGTTTCCTCAGAAACATTCCTGGGCCACACTGCCCACCATGGGATGCCCAGAACCGCCATGTGTGGGGGGGTGGGTTCAGGTGGGCGCTGGCCGAGGCGCTGTGTGCGTCCCTCCTCTCAGGAGGCCCATTTTGAGCCCTGTTTCAGGTGAACCACCTTTCTGAACAGGCGGCAGAGACTCTCCGGCAGAACCTTGCCTGGAGCTACCTTTATTTATGAAGCCTAAATTCTTACCATGGCAACAGCAATGTGTGTAAGGCAGAGAGAAGAGCCCCAACACCAAGCGTTGAGCCCGCTGCTGGGAGGTGAGAACCAGGAGGGGCAGGAGGTGGTGGAAGGAGGCCCTCATCATGATCGTCCCAGAGAAAACACAGGCAAACTCAACAACCAGTTCTCTAATCAGAACGGGATGCAGAAAGAGAGGGAAAGCCTGCTTGAAGAATACCCTCTAATGAGGTTTGATTATGGCTGCAGCTTCTGCATGCGATTCCCCAAATCCCTGCCGGCTCTTTGAAATTCAAGAGTTCTCTTCTGCGAACATCAAAAGGTAAATCGCGTGTGGCTCTGCACTGGTTGAACTGAGAGATGATTAGTGAATAAAAAATGTCCAGGGTTTTAAAAAGAAAAAAAAAGAAAAAAAGAAATCGTCAGCAGTAAGTGCTAATTAGACCATTTCCTGGTAACACCTGGCTTGTTTTTGCTCCTCTAATCAGAGCAATTGGAGTGATGGGGGCGGTGGGGAGAAGGCCCCGCTCCGTAGTAAAAGTGGCTCTGCGCTGGGAGGGCCGGAGCTGGGCAGGAGCTCTGGGCTCCTGGGGTGGCTGGTGAAGGAGAAAGGTCCAGATGAGCCCACAGGGCCCTCTCTTTTGCACACCCCACCCCCATTCCCACCACCCTAACCCTGGCTGCTCAGGCCTCTCCTTGGCCCTCATCACTTTGGCCAGCACGCCTCACCAGCCCCCTCCACAGTGAGGCCAACCCTCCCTTTCCCCAGGGCCCAGCTGAGCAAGTTTTTTTTTTCCTGCTTCAGCCCCTGGGGCTGTTCCGAGCCCTTTCCTTACACAGCCGCAGCATGGGAGTGAGTGCTCACCACACTGGCATATCCAGGTCACACTGTGCCTGGGAATCATTCTATAACAGAGTCTCTGAAACACAGCTCACATCTCTGCCAAAGGACCCGACAGCCGTGTAGGCAGCTTCTGCACCTTCTGCTTTCTGCCTGCTGCCCTAACTGTGGGGCCCACACGGAGCAGCCTGAGAGGCGGCGGTCAGGCGGGTGGGCAGCGTGGGAGGCCGGGCTGCCTCCATCGCCTACTAGCTGTGCAGTCCTGGACAAGACGCCAGGCTGCCTTCCTTGCCATCTGTAATTACATTTTCCTTGTAAAGGCAGGCGATATTAATACTTGACCTACTTCACAGGCTTTTGTGCGTATGAAATGAGGAAATGTATTTGAAATTGCTTTGTGAACTCCATGGTGCTATATGCAGGCAGGGTTTATCAAATGCTTCCTAAATGCCAGTTGAATGAAGACCCAAGGCTGGTAGGGAAAGCGCCTCGTTCTGGAGCCAGGCTGGCCTGGGCTGAGGCACTGTATCTGTCCATCCCCCATTCACCAGATGGAGAGCTTCACTAAGTACCAAGCATCTTCCACGGCTGCACGAAAGGCCCCTAGCATGTGCGTGTGCACAGTGGCTGCTCTGGGAATCTGAGCGCTGATATCAATACTGGTTCTCAAAGTGTGATCCTGGGGCCCGGAGCATCAAGTCACCTAAGGGCTTGTTAGCAATGCATCTTCTTGGGCCCCACCCCAGGCTGACTGATCTAGGCTACCTGCAGAGGGGGGCTAAGAAACCATGTTTTAACGAGCGCTCCGGGAGGTCCTGCCCCCTGCTCCAGTGTGAGGCTGCATTAGAACGCTGCCGCCTACCCACTGGGGGCACACCGTTTGTTGCCACCTGGATAGGCTCAATGGGTACCAGGTTTTGTTTACCTTCCTGAGCTCATTCACGCTTCTCCACAATCACGCAAAGTAGTTATTACCAGTGGTCCTTGTTTCGCAGAGAAAGGAACTGAGGCAGGGAGGTGAAGGAGCTTACGCAGGGTCCCACCGTTGGTAAGGGCCGAGCAGGCAAATATGGACCCAGAGTCCAATTTCTTAACCACCTCAACCTGAGGAATTGTTCCTCTAAATCTAGGACTTCACAAAAAAGCAACTGGAAGGAAACTCAGGATGTAGAGTATTAACGGGTGTGGGCTCTGGAGCCCCCACGGGAGGCTTGGCGCTACAGGACGCCCCCTTTCCTGGGTCTCACATATGCACAGGGAACCACTGCAACATCAAGGATTTCTTGGGGCTTTTTCTCCTTAAGTGAGGAAAGTGCCCCAGTTCATCTAGGTTGTGATTCTCTCTCTCCGCCCCCATCACCCACCTCATCCCACCTCTGCCTGGCTCTGAGTGCCCCCGCTGTGGGCAGTCCCCAGCCCGCCAACTAACTCAGGGGCTGAGGGGTCAGTGGGCATGGGCAGGCCTGAGCCAAGAGGTGAAGCATTGCAGGGAGGAAGGAATAGTCCCCACCATTTCCTTGAGTATTTTTTTTCTTTCAAGGACCTGGCAAGCAAAGCCATCCAAATTTTAGAAGACTAAAGGTGAAAGATACCTTAGAGAAGATCCTTTCATCAATGGTGAAGTGATAGAAGTGCTTCTCATTCAGTCCCCTCTCAGTAGCAAGTGACTTATTTGTGGGACAGGGCAGAGAGCGGAAGGCAGTACAGAATCCCAAGGCAAATGATAACTGGCCATGGAAGTTTTTAGAAATAATCTTCTGTGTTCCCACCCCTAAAGTTCACTTCCACGTCCTGCCTCTCAGGAACTTCCGGTGTAAGCCAGGCCCCCGGCTCAGACCTAGGTGTAATGGAGGAAGTAGAAGGATGGGGGGGCCGGAAAGGCATGTGTGAACAGACGTGTGTTCACATCATCATGAAGGGGATGAGTCTGAGGGCAGCAGCTGCAGAGCCACCGAGGACATAAACACAGTGTTAGAGAAGCTTGGGGAGGCCTGCGGCCTCCATATTATAATGCCCCCAAAATGTCTGAGACATTTCCAGGAAGGTTTATTGTGGGAAATGTGACAGAACTTGAGACCTCTAATGTACTTTTATCATCATCTTTACAGATGTGGTTAGTGACCAGCCCAAGGTCATGAGGCTAGGAAGTGTAGGGTAGACACTTGACCCCAGGTCCTGAGGCTCCGAGTGCAGCGCCCTTTAAGCACCCTATAGCCTCTCTTCTTCTGCTCACTAGCTGCACAGATAGAGGGATGGCTAACATCAATCGAGTGCTTAATCTGTGCTGGCGCAGTTCTCAGTCCCCTAACAATGAGTGTGTGTATGTGTGTGCATTGAGGACTGAGGGGGACAGAGAGGCATGGCCTCAGAAGACTCCTTGATGGAGCAGGAGAGGCCAGCCCGGAAGGCAAGGAACTTCTCTCGGATGCTGTAGTGTCCTTGGGGAAGCATCTGGTGGACATGCGCAGACGTGACCTCATGTGGCGGGGCTGTGGCTGGCCCTTTGGAACCAGCACCTCTGCCACCGCCGTGTGCCTGCTCTGCCTGAAACACCGCAAAACTCTGTTCTTCCTTCATCAGAACAGACCCAGGTAAACGGGACCATTCCTCATCCCTGTCCCCCGACATGTACCCATATTGGTTTATAAATCAGAAAGGTACGTTATTGGTCCACTGTGAGACAGTGACATCTGACAATGGCTTGGCACATTTTCCTGTCAAAAGCCGAAGCCTTGTTGGAAAATCAAATTCAAGTCAGGCGGCTTGTGGGGTGAATGCAGAAGCCTAGACAGAGCACGTGGCTGGTGGAAGGGCCCAGCCAGCGAGCCTCCAAGGACATCTGGGAAGCACATAGAGCTGCTCCCACGGACAGTGGGAAATGCCAGGTTGGAGCCTGTGGGCTTGGGCAGGTCCTTCCCTACAATTCTAAGGGATGCATTGGCCTTGCACAGTGGACATTCATCAAGACTGACATGTGTTGCAGAAGACTTGATGTCCACCATCAGGAGGGCCCTATTGCTGGTTTCCTCCTGCCACTTGGCACGTCCCTGCCTGTCCACAGCCATACAGGTGCATCAGGGAGGGAGGGAAGGTGTGGCTTTTGTTGATGGAAATGACAAAAGACTTTGCTGTGCTTGGCTGTCCCCTGGTTGGCACAATCTAATCTCACCTCCTTCTCTGTGGGATCAGGAGACCACCTGATGTGCTGCCCAGCAGATCTGAAAGGGCTCTCATGGGCTGTACGCCGAGGGAATGGAGGTGCCACGGGCACCTTCCCCTGCCAGCCCTCCTCTTGCTGAGGTGTGGCTGAGCCACCTCTGGCCCTAACACCTCCCCTGGGGGTGCTCAATGTCCCCATGCAGAATAGCTTGATTCTACTGAGGCTGCTGAGAAGAACTCAGATTAGAGGGCAAGGGTCCAAGCCCTGCTTCCCTGTTGTTAGATGAACAACAGGAGGCCTTAATTTAGTACCTCCGAGCCTCAGTTTCCTCAGCTGTCAAGTGGGCATAGCGCTGGCCTCCTGCCTCCTCAGCTAAGAGCATGAACTGAGGTGTCTACACCCCAGCTGACCTAGGGACCAGTGGCTGCTGTGACCAGCATCTAAGATGTCAGTGTGGCTAGAGACCTGAGTGACAAAAGGGTGGGCCAGATGATTTGGGGGAAAGGGCGCCGAAGCAACCGGCATCTTCTGAGAACCTGGGCAAAACGTTCCCGGCCAAGTCTCCGGGGTCTGTTTGAAGGGGTGTTCTGCTGGGGGCTGTCACTGGGACTTCTGCTTATCAAAAATGCATGCAGGCCACGGGTACAGACCTACCTTTCAGAGTAATGGCATGGCCCAGGCTAGGTGCCGAGGGTGGATGGAGAGGCCTGAGAGGGAACAGGGCTGACAGAGTGGTGGCCGAGAACGCAAACGTTAGCTATTACCTCGGGCTGCTCTGATTTGCAGCAGGGTCCTGGCCCACAGGAGGCTGTGGAGAGGCAGGTGCTGGAAGAGGCAGCACTTGGCAGACCTGAGTTCTAGTCCCAGCCTGACACTGAGGGTGGGGTACATCCTCAGCCCATCAGGGCCTCAGCTCCCTTGTCAGCTGTGGAATTAGAACACATGTTCCAGAAGCTGTCTACACAGGGATCATGGGCAAGGACTCTACGGGGACATCTATGACTCTCAGTGACCTTCTGCAAATTACCCGACACCTCAGGCCTCTGTCTTTCCCCTGTAAAAGGGATGAACAGTCACTCCTCACACTCCCATGGGATGCATGTGCCATGTGTGGAACAGTGCCTGGTGGGGGCTGAGAGCCCCTGCTGTTCTTATCACAAGGTCAGTACCCCCAGCGAGCAAACAAGCCTTCACCAAGCGCTGGCACTGGAGGGCTGACCAGCCAGGAAGGATATCTTACCTGCGGATGGTCCTGAGCAGGGTGGAGCGGGCCTCGTTGTGGAAGGTGATGATGATGCTGGTGGGAGGGAGATCCCTGCAGTACATGAGCACGGTGCATCTGGGGAAGAAAAGGCAGGAGACGCCTAAGACTTCTGGGGCAAAGCGGATGTCAGGGGCTGGAACCAAGGGCATCATGGCGGCCGCGAGCATGGGCACGTGTCCGCCGTCTGATGGGGCCGCCCTAGCTGCAGTCCTGGGCAAGACCCCAGGGCCTCACCCAGCCCTGTGTGGGGCAGGGAAGCTCTGAAAATAACAAGCTCAGTTCCCCACCACCTAGGGGAACATGGGCTTGCAGCCAAATTAAGTTGAGATACAGGACATAAATGTGGGATTCCTCACATGCCCAAGTTAGTACCCAGTGGGTCCTAGCAGCTGCACAAACCCGCCCCCAGATTTTGGACTCTGCTCACTGGTCTGTGCCCTTCCAGCTGGCAGAGGCTGCACATGTTCTGGGCCAGCGGCTCCAGCCCACCACACCCGCTGACCCACGCCCAACCTCCTGCCCCACACACCCAAATCTGGCACACTTAAAGAGGCAGGGCCCCCAACTCCTGGCATAAACAATACGCGTAAAACCCTGTCTTGAGAAACCATTCATTTCCACGTGTCCAGGATCGTTTGTATGACAATGACGTCTGGGGTACTTTCAATTTAATACCTTGCTGCAAGTGAAAATTGTAGCCCGCAGCCTGAAAATCACTATAATAATGAAGATAAACCTGCCAAGGGAGGCTGATGCCACCAGGGGCTGTCCCTGAGTAAATGTTTCCTCCTGTTTCTTGCTCTTTTGGGGGGCGTCCAAGCACAGGGGGGAGGGTATTAAACAAGGAAGTAAATAACAGACGTTTGGCGAGTCAAACATTTCCTCTCTTCATGTTCAATTTCTTCCTAGGCTTTTAATCTTGGGTCCAGAAATCCAAGGATGGACATCAAGGGGGCTGTGAGTCCTCTGAAATTGTTTGCAAAACAGTGTATGCAAATGTGCATCCCTCCCCCCGCCCCGCCCCGCAACACACACTCTGGGAAGATGGTTCATAGTTATTGTGTAGATTCTCAAAAAAGCCTGTGGCCTAAGATACTTAAGAACCTCGTTCCCAGGCCAGTGGGCCTGATGCCCCTTTGGCCTCACTGATAATTCTGAATACTTTTTTCTACGAGAGCAAAGGCTCAGTCAGAGAACTTACTCCAAGAGAAGCGGGCTGGCCTGCTCAGCACCTAAGCACAGGCTGGGCTTAGGCCATCCACGAGGAGCCAAGAATTAGGAAAGGGAGGCCTCAGGGGAAGACTCCATGGAAAAGGTAAGTCACGACCTTCAGGCATTTCTGTGCTTGCCCCGCAGAGACAAGGTCTCACCATCCACTGCCAGCTCCACCTCCAGATAAAACACCCCTGAATCGATCCTCCTCTCTCATCCCCATGGCCCTCCTACGACAGCCTCCTGCCCAGTCTTCCTGCCTCCAGCCTCTGCCCCTGCCAGTCCACCACACAGCTCTGCCCAGGCCTTCCTCTGGCTGAAGCCCTCCTGTGGCTCCTCATGTACAAGTCCAAACTCCCCACCAGAACCTTCAAGACCTTTCATCATTGCTGCTTAATGCAGTTCCGTAACTCCATGCCACTGCCCACACTGCTACTTCTGCATGAAGCAATATCCTCCCTCCTTTCTCTGCCAGATGAGCTCCTATTCATCCTTCAAGACCCAGAGCAAATGTCCCCTCTGCTGTGAAGGTATCCTATACTCTCCCAGATAGGTAACAACCTGTCCTTTGTGCTCCCATTGCTCTGTACGCATCTCTCTCTTTTAGTACTTCTCAAGATGGGACTGTCTCCCCCACCTGATGGGTGAGTTCCCCTAGGGAAGAAGGACCCTTGTCCATCTCCCCTACCCCTAGAATAGGAATTGAGTATACCAGGAGCCCATTTCCAGAGAAAGGAACACATTCAAGAAGTGCATTCCTCCGTCAGCTGATGTCTTAGCCTTTTATGGTTTTAAAAGGTCTGGTAGCCTGCCTCCCAGATGGCTTCCAGGGATTCTTACCTACTGGTCCTCATGCCTTGTATAGCTCTGTCCCTCACTGAATCAGGGATAGCCTATATGACCAAGAGAATGTGATGCAAGTGACAGAATGCGACTTCCAAGGCTAAGTCATAAAAGCACTGCAGGCTCTGCCTTGACCACCTGGAGGGAAGCCAGCCCACATGCAGAGGAGTTGAGGTCCGCGACCGGCGCCGAGTTGCCCACCATATGAATGAGCCAGCCTGGAAGTGAGTCTGCCAGCTGACAGTGGCTCCAGTGGCTCCAAGCCAGAACCACTCAGCCAAGATGCTCCAAATTCCTGAGCCACGAAGACTGTGAGATAAGCAACGATTCCTATTATGTTAAGCCACTAAGTTTGGGGGGTATTTTGTTGTACCTTAGATAACCATTTTGAAAAGGGGAGGAAAAAAATGTCTTGAAATGGCCCCCAATGAGGCGAGGCCTTGGACTGCCTTACCTTTGGACGCAGACCAGAATCTACTTTGGGAGCAGTGAGGAGGGAGAAGGGCAGGTGGCTGGTCAAGGTGGATGCGGAGGGACCCTTGGTTGGTGTGCTGCAAGGTTCCTGAGGATGCAGAGAGGCCTGGAGCATGGGATAGGTGGCAATGTGCATGGTCAGCACCTTTACAGGACAGTAATAAAGCTGAGAACTTAGCAGAACCTCTTCGTCTCCATTAGAGACGGAGAGAAAAAAGAGACCACGCAGAGTGACTTAGAAGGCCGGCACTACCAGGGCTGTGTCTAGGGCCAGGCTCCAGGCACTGTCTTGGAGATGGCTTCCCCTCCACACCCTGGGGGGCAATGGGATCCCCCCCAACCTTTGTGATAAAAGTTATTCAAGGGCAAGTTGGTGCAGGAGGGTGGTACTGGGACTTGATGGTTTAGAGCGCTTTAGGGGACAGGGGCCACTTTTCCTGCCTTGTAGGCATCCAGCCAGGAGACAGGTGTATGTCCCCACAGTGACACAGCACATGGGGCTGGGAGAGCAGAGAGGTACGCATGGCTCCACCTGGGGTGGTGAGCAAGGCTCCCTGGAAGAGAGGCTGGATCTCACAGGGAGAGGTAGACCTGGGCAGGTGGAAAATGGGGTACAGCAGCCTAGTGACAGCACAGTCCTGGACCCATGGGCTGAGTGCCCGTGAGGCAGCTCCTGGTACTCTGGCCCGAGGGTCCGGACACCACTGACCAGCAGTGGGGCCATGGGCAGACCACCTGCCTCTCCAGGCTGCTTTGGGTTCATCTCTAAGACAGGGCTCTCCTGTTAAAGGTTCTTACAGCACCAGTAATCAAAAGCTTTGATGAGGGCTGGCATTCAATAAAGAATGGTTGATTTGCATGGAATGTCAAATATGCAGCAGCTAAGGTTCAACTGCATGGCTGGACATCCGACTTTACTTTCTAAGCCTCAGTTTCTTTATTTGGAAAGTGGAGACAATTTTTAACTTGTAGATTTCCCCCATCCCCCATGTCCACCAGATTATTAATAGATGCTTGACAAATAGTAACTCATTTTTAACATCAATTCAAGTCTGCAGACCCATCCTCCACTGGCTGGAGCCAGATCTTGCATGGGCTGAAAGGGTGTCTTTGGTGAGTTGTCTAGACAGTACAATAGTAGCTGAGGGGTGCTGGGAGGCTAGAAGAGGAGGGGAGAGCAGAGGGGGTCGCATCAATGTCAGAGAAAGGAAACTGCGCTGTGATGTCCATGTGAATCCTGGATCTGCCAGACGCTGGCTGTGTGTGGCCTTGGACACGTCATTTACCTTCTCTGAGCCTCAATGTCGTCATCTATAAAATGTGGACAAATACCTTCCTTCCAGGCTTGTTCTGAAGACCACAGATACCGCAGGCAAAACACCTGGTGTTGCGCGGCTGCTGAGTAGACGGCGGCTAAGCATTGTTATCACAACGGAGGCCGAACCAGCCTCCATGCCGTGTTTGGCACTTCTGAATTAGAACCACAAGCTCACAGGTCAGAAGAGGAAAGGGCTTTGGAAGTGGCCCAGTCCAATCTCCTAAATTGGGTAGAAATTTGTGGCATAACAGGCTTGGGCTGGAGCCTGGGCAACTGTGCTCCTGGGCCTCGGCCCCCTCCAGCTTCCTGTGCCTAGAGGATGGTGGCTCTTCCTCCAGGCTGGGCAGGAATCCTGCAGGTGCCACAAGCATGTACAGGCTTTGGGGAGGGCAGGCAGTAGGGCGGTGCTCCAACCTCAAAGGTACAGGCATCCTGGCTCATGGGACACAGCACCCCCTGCCTTCTGCCCCTGCTCATAGCTCGCAGTACCCAGAGTCACCCTGTGTCTCATCTGATCGTTGAGACACCTCTGAGAACCTTTGCTCCACAGATGAGGACAACTGAGGCTCAGAATCTCATTCAAGATCACACACTTGCAGAGTGAGTTTCACCCAGGTCCTGTGACTTGTCACCCAGTATATGTCTCTAGTGTCCTACTGTGAACTCACCCTGCTTGAGGCACAAGAGATGGAGGGGCTGGTGTGAGGTGGGGCCCACCTGCCTGAACCCTGTGCAAGAGCCGCCAGCCCTCCGAGGCTGGGGGTGGAGGGAGCGATAGCCCTGCTTTGGAATGAGCACTAGACAGCAAAGCCAAGGGCTGAGAAAAATCCTTAAAACTGGACACAGTGAGGAGAGTTGGCTTTCAGTGAGAGCAATCTAAAAGATTAATCAAACAGCGAGATCTATTAGGGGCACGAGGGGAATGAAAAAGGCTGCCAGCACAGAGTTCTGGCGCCGGCAGACGGACCAGAAAGCATGTTTATAATTTATTAAAGACTCAGGGGTTTTACTGGAGAGAAGAGCTAGTGAGCAGGAAAGATAGGTGTGGGGGTGGGACCAGGAGGAAGGACGGGCCCACCGCTGACTCTGTGGAGAGACAGATGCCAGCCCTGGGCTACCATCCCGATTGCCACAGCAGCTCCTGAATAATGCATGCTTCTCTGAGCTTATTTTTTCCTTTAAAGGAAGATTCTACTAAGATTCATGACTTCCGTAAGTTCAGCTGGGT